AAAAGAGATTAGAATAATGATCTAAATTACTTCTTTATTATAATGATTACTAAAATCTGGATTTGCAAAAAGAAAATCAACAAGTTTAAGAAGGTTTAGCGCCTAAAAAATGCAGCATAAGCACCAACCTTCCCCATCGTCAGTGATGGAGCCATCCGGCCCAGTACCGAAATACTGCACGTAGAGCTGTTGGAACATATCCTTTCTGTTTTTGAGTCGCGTTATGTCCAAATCTGTCTCACGTATGATATTCATGAGCACTTCACGGAAAGACTCCATATTCACTTCATCTGCAATAAACTGATGTATTGAAGTACCTAACACTTGGCACTATTTTGCAGAGTTCTGGGAGAGAATGAGATTAACAGTTATAAAGTTTTTTCAATACCAGTTGAAAATAAGAGCTTTTCATTGCAAATGTAGATAGCTGTTCAACGCACAGCATAGAATGCAATCGATACAAACCTATGATGGAAGTTGCACAGAGTTGATTCAAACAACAAAGAGAGAATATCATTTGACTGGAATTGTCAGAAAACTAGAAGATTCGTTCAAGCACAAGGAGCTTAAAAATAAACTTTCTCTCTTTTTCCTCGAGATTGAAGGAGCACCAGGAGTTGAGTAAAACTGCCAATCGGGATATAGTGCGAGTTAGATTTTGAGATACCGACGCCAAATGTTGGGCGTGAAGCCGCTTCAACTCACTGCTTGACGATAGAAATAATTTTGGAGCAGTGACCATGAATCATGTAATTTGATTTTCTGCGAAATAGCGTGAGCAAATGGTAGGACTTATATAGGATGATATCGTGATTATGCTGCTTAGATTATGTACAGGGCTCCCCAAAAAATGTGCACACTGTTTGATCGTTTACAAATCTCCTTCTTCAATGTTGTCGATCTCCAGATACCATTCTGTAGAGCTGGCTTCAACTTAAATTTACTGTATCGAGCGAATCACCCATCGTTCTCCGTTACTGTAGGATTACAGTAAGAACTTCCAATTTGTAGAACCATTGTGAAATGGGCGGCAATATTTTTCAAAGAGAACTGCAAAACTGAATGCTAGGGTTTTCACGCATGCTGATTATATTATATACTCTAGTGTACTTGGCTCTGTTAAAAAGGTGAAAACACATTTCTAACAAATGTTGGAAAAGCCTGAGGGTTTCTCGCTTATTTGCTTCCATTTCTGAGATAAAATAAAACACTCAATGTCCTAAAATCCTTGTTCCGTAATCCTACAGTAACAAAGAGGGATCGATTCGCTCCATGCTGTAAAGCTAAACTGAAGCTAGCTCTACGGAATGATATTCAAAAATTGACAAAAGATAGCAAGCAAACGTTATTAACGATCAAATAGTGAGCACATTGTTTTGGGACGCCGTGTATACAGGATACAGGCAG